AAGTATATATATGTCTTTTTTCAGAACTTCCATCCCTTTCTACATTTGAAGACCTAGCCGGAGCAATAAGTTAAGAAGAAATAAAGACATCTAAACTGGCACAGAGGAAGCAGAATTATTGCTGTTTGTAGAGGATATGATCCTATATCTAGAAAATCACAGAGATTTCACAAGAAAATTACTGGATATAGTTGACCAGTTCAGCAAAGATGCAAGGTGCAAAATCAATGTTAAAAAAGTAGATTCATCTACAATAACAAAGAGAACTATAAAATGGAATTGTTGTTGTTGTTATGTGCCATTGAGTTGCTTGCAACTCATATTAACCCTATGATTTATAGTTGCCACTCACAAAGTGAAATATTTAGAAATAAAATCTAATCAGATACAAAAGACCTGTACTTTTGTAACAAAAGTATAGAAAAAGAAAGTTGTTTCTAAAGAAAATTATGAACACTGCTACAAGACAGAAGAATATATCCTGCTAATGGATCAGAAGATTCAACATTGTGAAGACACCAATACAATCAGAGTTAATCTATATATATTATGCAATATCAATCTTGATCCTGTCATCATTCATCAAAAAGATGAAAAAGTAATCAATAACTATATGGAAAGGAAGGAGATACCAGAGAAGGAAAGAGCTACCAAAGAAGAAAAACAAATCAGGAGGCCATACACTTCCTAATCTCATAATATACTGTTTTGTCATAGTAATCAAAACAGTTTGGTGCTGGTACACAGACCAATGGAATAGAATAGAGAACCCAGAAATAAGTCCACCCACTTATGCAAAACTGATCTTTGAAAAAGATGTGAAATCCATTGAGTAGAGGAAAGACAGCTCCATGAACAAAATTGTGCTAGCAAAACTGGACATAGATTTGCAGAAAATGGGAAGATCTGTACTCCACATTATATGCAAAAACTAGCTAAAGATATCAAAGACCTAGATGTTAAACCTAAAACTGTAGATATAATCAAAGGAAATAATTAAGACAAAGAAAGATAAGCTAGACTATTGAAAGCTTCTCAAAATTAAATCCTTATGTGATCAAGACTTCTCAAAAAATGTGGAAAGAGAACCTGCAGATTCAGAAAATTTTCTTTGGAAATGACAAGGGACCAATCCTCTAAAATATTTAGAAGACTCTAAAACCCCAAAATGATAAAGATTTACAAAATGGACCAGAGTATATGAAAAGACACTTCATCAAAGAAGATATTCAGATGGCCCACAAACTTAAAAATATTCAGTATAATTAGTTGTTGTTGTTGCTGTTATGTGCCATCGAGTCGTTTGTGACTCACAGTGACCCTTATGTCTCAAACACATTCATTCCCACTGCTCCACTCAAAGAATCGATCCTATAACTTGTTAGTGAAATGTGTGTCTTCTAGGTTGCAACACCCCCATGATACATCTTCAAGGATATGAACATGTACGGCCAAGCACAATCAATAAGAGTGCATCTAAATTCCAAAATC